AACCTGGCAGCTGGGTTTCAGGGGAGTAACTAACCTTCCCTGGCAAGTACCACTATCTCACAGAAATAATGGACAAAAGAAAATGACAACCAAACATCCCTAAAAATGGATTATGACAAAATTGGCTTTGGTTGGGGCAAGCAGGTAGGGTAGTGGCTAAGATACTGGACTCCCACATGGCCGACTGCGGTCCGAGTCCTGGATCCAGTAGCTTGAAACTCACACCAGGCACACGTGTGTGCAGATCCAAAATCCAGAGAAGATAACGAAGAAGGGATTACGGCTTGGCCATCGCCCCTGGAGGGGGTGAATTCTTGTTTTCTCTCTGTCTCTCTCTCTCTCCTGCAAGCTCACATGCTCTACGGCAAAAAAATAAATAAATAAATCTCTCAAAAAATAGCTTTGTTTAACTTGCAACCATCAGCATTTAATGTCCGGAAACCATTATGTTGAAATCTTGGACAGAGGTGTGATCTCCGAAAGCTGTCTCTAAGAATAGGACAATGGACAAAGGACCTGCCCTCGAGGGAGCAGACTGTCAATAGGGCGTGGTATATAACACGGGTAACTGAACAGCCTAGCATGAACTAAAAACACGAGTACCTTTGGCTCTTGACGACGACACACTCAGATAAAAGAGAAGGACTTGGGAGATCGGTATTAAATACACTAAGATGTGTAGTCCTTTCAGAAGAATGATAAGTGGTCTCTAAAGATTAAAAAAATTCATCCTGAGACCAGTGGCTATCATAAAGGTTACATCGCTAGACTCCCACACAGTCGACAGTGGTTTGAGTCCCAGACCCAGCAGCTTAAAACTCACACCGGGCATGTGTGCATGTGTGCCCAAAGTCCCAAGAGGAAAATAGAGGAGAAGGGATTGTGGTGTGGCCATCCCCTCTGAGGAGCGATTTCTTGCTTTCTGTCTCTCTGCGTCCAACAGCAAAAATCTCTCTTAAGAAAAAAAAAAGTATTCACCCTAGTAAAACTACAAGTGCAATACTTCATATACTCAAACCTGTAACAGGGGATCTTTTGACTTCATTCACAGCATTTTGTTTTTTAAAACAAGGTTTTTACCTAAGGACATGTGCACTCACCAGAGAGAGAGATGGTAAGAGAGAAGGTGAGAAATCACCCCCTGCATGGATGGCCATGCCGCAACGCCTTCCTCTCTCGGGATCTTGGGCACACACACGCATGCGCCCGGCCTGATTTTCAGGCCACCAGGTCCAGGACTAGAACCATGATCGGCCATGTGAGATTCCACTGACCTAACTGCTACGATATCTGCTAGCCCCCCCACCCCAGTTTTTCTTTAAAGGATATCCCTAAGTAAATATTACAAAAGTAGTCTTCTCCAGAATGTAATTCTCCATTTAAGACTAACAAAGATGGCCTCTGAAGCCAGAACTTTCCATGGGCGGGCTGAGGATGGCAGAGGTCGTGTTGGAGACGGAGAACAGGGAGAAGCCCCTGCACTGTGCTCCAGCCACTGCTCAGGTAGGCAGGGCAGGATGAGGACAGCTGAGGACCTACAGGAGTCACCGTAATACCCTCACCTCTGGAAAAAACGTCATGCAGTGGCCTAAAAGCCTTCCTCTGAGAAGGAAGACACAAAGCATTTAAGGGACACACAAACAGGAAATGGTCTGTTGATGATAACATGTGAGGCAGTACCTTTACCTGAACCAATATACAGCTGAGTTCACAAAGGAAAATGCACTTGGTGTGCTGTAATGATACAGTGACTGAATGTAAAAAATTAATTAATTAGTTTAAAAAAAAAAAAAAAACAGGCACCAGCAGATAGCGTAAAGGTTATATCGCTGGACTCCCATGCAGTCAACCACAGTTTGAGTCCCAGACCCGGCTGCTTAAAACTCACACTGGGTGCATGTGTGTGCATACCCAAGATCCCAAGAGAAGGGATTGTGACATGGCCATTTCTCCTGTGGGGTGATTTTGTGCTTTCTGTCCCCCCTGTCTCTTTCTGTCTCTGGTGAGCGCACATGCCCCATAGCAAAACTCTCTCTTACAAAAAAAAATAATATACAAAATAAAATAAATAAATAAAAATAAAAAAGCATTCCCCCAAATACAGGACCGAAGGAGCCCCAAGTCTCCCTCGCGTGAGAGCCATGTCCGTAGCTGTGTGGGGACTGTGTCAGTCCACACTGGCTGCCCAATCCCCTGGCGGGTGCTCGTCTTCCTGTGTACCATGGTACCTGCCACCTCACCTGGTGGTGGGCGAGCACATAGCACTTGCGTTTCACTGTACTGTGGATCATCTAATGACTCCTTTGCGCTTCAATCATCAGAACCAGAAAGCTAACGACATGTAACTAGTAGTAATCAGTATTGCTCTAAAACCAGCTTCATTTCTGTAAGATGAATATGCTTTTTTTTGAGAGAGAGAGAGATTTTTTGCTATAGAGCACATGTCAGACTTATGGCAAGTAACAAGAATGACGAGTTTTAAGAGAGAAAGTACCAGCAAAGTATTACAGGGCCAGACTGTATTTTCCAAGCACTGTTTCGCCCAGAGAAGGATTTAAAACCTTCAAACTAGAAATAATCTGATAGGAGAATCTTAAAAAATGATATAACTTACACCCGAACTGCTAAGCGGCACCAATGCCTGCCTTTGGAAGATGGAAACTGCCGAGGGATTATCGAGATAATGACTTTAATAGTGTCAGGGCAGAGTGACACACGGGTTTTCTTTAGGCCCCAATTCCCGAGTCTCCACTTTCTGCCCCTGCGTTACGCTGTCCGCTCTCTCTGCACCCCAGTCTCACTGCCAGGAACAGTAAGGGCCAGCTCGGGGGCCCAGCAGTTATGCACTGCTCGATGGAAGCTGGCCCACAGGGCTCCCTGCTCGACACACACATGTGGCCACCGGCTGGGAAAGCGGGGGGCCGGGGCGGGGCGGTCCCAGCATGAGGGGTATTCTCTCTCACAGACAAGAAGTACTTGGTTGTATTTTTCTATGCAAAGATGTGTCATGACTTTTCCAACAACCCAATAAATAAGCTTTAAAAGGAAGAGAGGGAGGAAGGGAGAGAAAGAAAAGAAAAACAATTAACAATGCGATCACACAAACAAGCCCCTGAGCAAAACTGGGCCTTTGAACCTCAGTCCACTTCTTCGGGTTACGCAGAGGCCTCCTCTAGTCAACTGACCACGTGCTGGGTTGGCACTTTGGGTTTGAAGTCTGCACAGAAACCCACACGTGCCCGGTGCACTTGTGCTTCCTAACTACTGCCCCGCCCTGTGAATTTAACGAGAAGAAGCAGACGCTCTGGCATCCATGCTCACGTATCATCTCTACCTTAGAAACTCCATTATTCCTGGATAAATATCTCATTAGAATGTCACGTGTTTATGTACAGCCTCCAGTTTACAGAACACACATAGGATGTGAGAACAGTGACGTCACCACCAGAGGAAGGAAGGAAGAGGTGGGGAGAGGGAGGGCAAGGACTGGAAGGAGAGAACGAACCTGACCGATCTGGAAGGTCACAGTACCCCGAGGGAGAAGGCCCAGCCTGCAGTCAGTGTCGCCCAAGGGAGACCGTGGCTGTATTAACTGGAACATACCACAACGCTCCACCCTCCACTTTGCCTGATAACGTGAAGGAACTAGACTGTTTTCTCTACTTTAAATTTGTAGAAATCCTCAGGAAAATGAACAAAAGGCTTATACTTTCTCTTGCTTTTAACTCCAATCTCTAAGAAAGCACAAAGGTGCCCTCCTTCTTTCCCAAGGCTTACCTATGTTCATGATCCCATTTAAGTAGCTTCTCCTGTCAATGTATTTCCAATCCTACTGGTCTGCTTCTACACAAGTCAAGTCAGGAAAATCTCTCTGTTCTCTAAAGACCACCTCCCTTACTTGATTCAATTCCTCTAAAGAGTAATTTCCTGTAGCAAATCTTCCTGATTCTAACCTGGCTTCTCATCTGCATTCTCCTAGAAGAGCTCACCTATCCTACTAGTATTCTTTTTCAGTGTCTGAAACATTGATAGTATCTGACACTCCATATTCTTAACACCTTCTCTGACAGCATCTACTCCTCTGGTTCCTCCCGTTTCCTATGTAGAGGCCGTGACCAGCCACCTTCAGGGCCCTCAAGCACTCTCATCCCTCCCACCATAGCCTCATTTTGACCTTGAATTCCTATCTCCAAACTTTCTGCAGAATTTCTAAACCCAGGGTTACAAACACTTCCACTGGAGTATGCAAAGGCCACAGTTCCACCATCTTTACAAACTCGGCCTACCCCTTGGCTTTCCACTCCCCAGCCACCACTTAGGAGCCCGCCTTTCCAGCCTGGGTCACTATAGCCTCCTAAGCAGTCTCCCCACATTCTCCACCTTCCCACACCAGCCTGTATTACAAACTGGTGTCAAAATCATCTTCAGATGAAGTCACAATTTTAAAGTGCCAAAATTCCACAAATGTAAACAAAACCAAGTATGAATGAGTATACTGAGAGTTATAGTGAGGAAAGACTTTACAGCAAGGTATGGAAATTAAGAATACTTAATATTCAGTCATGACATTTCTTAAAAACTTAAAGCACATAGAGTAACACTTTAAAATGCACGTTTCAGAGAGTAATCGAAGCAGGTTAATATCATGGGGAACACTTACCATAATCCTACTGAAAGAGACCTTCGACTACAATGGGGTGTTAACTATTATTTAGAGTACAATACTGTCTTCAAACATTTTAACTAAGGACATAGTTGAAAAATGAAATCCACATGTATTCTTCCACATGTGCGAAGAATAATATTAACCAAAGATACAAAACCCAAATGCAAGTGTGATTTATATCCAGGAAACGTTTTAGAAGGAAGTATATTACGTACTTAGAGCATTCTCCTTCCCAAGAAAATGTCCTACTACTTTTCTATGTCACATGTGCAGAGGAAAAAACTGAATTCATGAAATATACTGAGTATGTGAAGAGCGCGTGAGAGAGGCTTACCCGGTGTTGACGGAAATGATTTCTATCAGCGGATTCTTCCTGATCTTCGGCAAATCCAATCGCGCTCCTCCCAACCGCTTTCCGTTGTCCTTCTTCTGACCCAGCAGCCTCACAGAGTGGCCTTCAAGTCAAGTACATAAATATCCATTAGCAGGAGTCACAACTTCGCTGCAGTTTACTGCTTTCGACAAATACGTTACTTCAACAAACACGCTATTGAACTTTCTCTCTGAAGAAGAAAGTAACTCAACCCAGAAGGGTTGCGATCACTGGAACCAAAGAAATAATGTCCAGAGGAAAAGCAGGTTCCCAGCCTACAGTCAGAAATGTTCTGCACGGATGAGGAAGACAGAGAGGTCCACAAGGTCTGGGAGCTTCTCAGCACGGACCGGGTGTGCGTGCGCACTGGCGCACTGGGAAGGGTTCGCCTGGGCTTGGTCTGCCGGCCGCAGTATTTTAGAGGGAAAGAAACAGCAACAACTGCATTGGTTCAAGCAAACGGCAAATGCAGCAAGTGTAGAACCGACACCCAAGGTAAAGCGACACTTCTGGGTTGGATTTTTCAAAACAAAGCTTTCTGAACTTATTTTTACAAAAGGAGATCAGCCCACTGTAAAGAGGTACTAAAACTATGGTGATTTTGAAATTCTGAAATAACAACAAAGATGTAGAAAAGATGGAAGAAAAGTGCAAAGAATTCCCACATCCTTCAGATTCAACAATTACCATTTACCGCACTGGCTTGGCCATTTCCGCTTTACATACAGACATGGTGTTACCAGTGTACCAAGACACAGTCTAGGGGCCACTTGGTAGAGAAGTGGGGAAGGCAGCCGCATCCCACATGAACAACTACCAAGTTCAACTCCCAGACCTGAAGCTTGAAAAACACACTGGATATGTGTGCATGCATGGCGTGCGCACTGGCGCACTGGGAAGGGTTCGCCTGGGCTTGGTCTGCCGGCCGCAGTATTTTAGAGGGAAAGAAACAGCAACAACTGCATTGGTTCAAGCAAACGGCAAATGCAGCAAGTGTAGAACCGACACCCAAGGTAAAGCGACACTTCTGGGTTGGATTTTTCAAAACAAAGCTTTCTGAACTTATTTTTACAAAAGGAGATCAGCCCACTGTAAAGAGGTACTAAAACTATGGTGATTTTGAAATTCTGAAATAACAACAAAGATGTAGAAAAGATGGAAGAAAAGTGCAAAGAATTCCCACATCCTTCAGATTCAACAATTACCATTTACCGCACTGGCTTGGCCATTTCCGCTTTACATACAGACATGGTGTTACCAGTGTACCAAGACACAGTCTAGGGGCCACTTGGTAGAGAAGTGGGGAAGGCAGCCGCATCCCACATGAACAACTACCAAGTTCAACTCCCAGACCTGAAGCTTGAAAAACACACTGGATATGTGTGCATGCATGCCCAAAACCCTAGAGGAGAATGGAGGAGAAAAAAGACTGTGGTGTATCGTCCCCCACCCCGGGGTGATTTCTCACTTCCCCTCTCTTCTCTCTACTCCCCTGCCCCCGCCCCATACACACACTCTACAGCAACACTTAAAAAAAAAGAGACAGGCTATATCCTGTCAAATTGACCCATTATGAGAATACAATGCAATGATTTTAAACAGACGTGTCATTCTGTAATCATCACAGTAATCCAGTTTCTGAACATTCCCATCACTCCGAAACACTCCCTCAACTTTTCTTTTCTTTTTTTTTTTTTTTAGAGGTTTTTGGCTACAGGGCACGTGCGCTCGCACCAAAACCCTAGAGGAGAATGGAGGAGAAAAAAGACTGTGGTGTATCGTCCCCCACCCCGGGGTGATTTCTCACTTCCCCTCTCTTCTCTCTACTCCCCTGCCCCCGCCCCATACACACACTCTACAGCAACACTTAAAAAAAAAGAGACAGGCTATATCCTGTCAAATTGACCCATTATGAGAATACAATGCAATGATTTTAAACAGACGTGTCATTCTGTAATCATCACAGTAATCCAGTTTCTGAACATTCCCATCACTCCGAAACACTCCCTCAACTTTTCTTTTCTTTTTTTTTTTTTCTGAGAGGTTTTCGCTACAGGGCACGTGCGCTCGCCAGACAGACAGAGAGAGAGAGAGACAGAGAGACAGAAAGCGAGAAATCACCCCCCAGGGGGGATGGTCACGCCGCAATCCCTTCTCCTCCATTCTCCTCTCGGGATCTTGGGCACGCACACACACGTGCCCGGCGTGAGTTTTAAGCTACCGGGTTCAGGACGCGAACCGCGGTTGACTACGTGGGAGTCCAGCGACATAGCCATTACGCTAACTGCTGGTTCCCTCCCTCGACTTCTTTATAGACCGTCTCTGATCCCACACCAAACAGAGTACGTTTTTAAATAACCATTGATAAGATGACGGATATCTGAACTGTCTCCAGTTTGTAGCTATTATAATAATGCTTCTATGAACATCTGCATACAAGTCTTTGTATGGACATGTGTCTTCATTTCTCTTGAATAAATTATTTGAAGTGAAATTGCTAAGTCATGGGATAAGATTATGCTTTTTAATAAACAACTGTCATCCAAAGTGCTGGTCCTACTTTACATTCCCACCAGCACCAGATCAGGTTTGGAGTGCCTCCATATCTTGCCAACAGCTCATTTTCTCACTTTCTGCTTAAAGCCATTCTGGCAGGTATGTGATGGCCCACACTGTGGTTTGGCAGTGTGTTATCATAATGACTAATGAGGTTGAGCACCTCTTCATGAGATGATAGCCAAACACATCTCTTCTTCAGTAGCATGTTGTGATGGTTCATTTTATGGGTCAACGTGCCTGTGCCACAGGGTGCCCAGACGTTTTGACTCCACATTATTCTGGGTGTGCCCATGAGGGAGTTTCTGGAGGAGAGCAACATTTTAACTGATGAGCTGGGTAAAGCAGACGGTCCTCTCTGTTGTAGTTGAGTATCAGCCCATCAGTTAGAGGTCTGAGCAGGCCAAAAAGGCTGAATGGCTGTATTCCTCCTGAAGACTTAACGGGAACACTGGCCCTTTCCAGCCTTCGTACTCGAACTAAGACACCAGCTCTTCTAGACTCATGTCCGCCAGTTTGTGTATTGGAATCGACACCACTGCCACTCCTGGTTCTCAGATCTTTGGATTTGGATTGAAACTATACATCAGCTTTTCTGGGTCTTCAGCTTGCCAAATGTAGATCTTGGAACTTGTTTTTTCGGTACCCAGAATTATATGAGCCAACTCCTCTTTTCTCCTTCTTTACTCATGATAGAACATGTGCACACTCTATTAAGAAAGGGATAAAAGGAAAGAGGGATTGAGGGAAGGGGGTTGAAAGAGAGAGAGTCTCTACAAGACTGGGTCATGCAACAATCTCTCTCTTACTGTCCCCCACCCTTGGATCCTGGGAGCTCATACATGTGCCAAGTATGTATCTATCAGGCTGACTGGGCCAGGGATTTGAACTTCAGCCACCATGTGAGATCTACTTTCTCTTGAGCTTATCACTGTGCCACAGGGCTGCCAATACATCTCTTGGCATATATCCTGTCGGTCTTAACTAATACTAATGTCTATCCCAGCATTTTGCCAATATTTTAATTAGAGTATTTGTCTTATTGAGTTTGAAGAATTCTTTGTATATTCTGATTCTGAGATCTTTATCAGATACATGGTTTGTAAACCTAATTCTCTTGGTCTGTGGCTTAGACTTTCACTTTTATAACGGTGTCTTTTTTAGAAGTAAATGTTTTCTCGGAACTGGCAGGTGACGTAGTGATTAGGACACTGAACTCCTACATGGCCGACTACGGTTCAAGCCCTGGACCTAGAGACTTGCTCTCTTGCTTTCTCTCTCTGTCTCTCTCTGGTTAAAAAAAAAAAATCATTTTATAAAAAAGTAAATGTTTTCTAATCTAATGAAGTTCACTTTAATTTTTTTTCCTTCTACGGCTCATGCTTTTTGTGTCACAAACGTGTCTGTATTTCTTTCTAGATATTTCATTGTTTTAATTCTTATATTTAGGTCCCGGGTCCATTTTGTTACTTTTGGTACACAGTAAGGGCCTAATAAGTTCATTTTCTTTTTAACGTGTATATTCAACTGCCCAGTGTCATCACACTTCTTTCTCCATTTCTGTGCTACTGCTGTAATGAATAGCGACATATATGGTTGTGCAAAGCCAAAATCACTGTGCTAGAATGGGTTTATATTACTGAATGTTTTTTAATAGTGAAAGTTTCCGCTGCTCCTTGGAATTCTACTTAACATTTGGTACCACTTCCTTTCTTCCTGAAGCCTTTTTAGTATATCCTGTAAAGCAAGTCAGCAACAAATTCTATCATTGTGTTTATCTGAGGACGTCTTCATTTTGCTACATTTGTGAAGAATGGTTTTGCTGGACATAGATTATTTCTTGACAGTTTTCTATATAACATTCCATTATCCTTGACCTTTATTACTCCTGATAAGATGTTCAATACTCATCTTACGGGTCCCCTACACGCAGGTCATATTTCTCCTGTACTTTCAAGATTTTATCTTTGTCTTTCAGTAGTATGATTATGATCTACGTATCATCTCTGTAATTATCCTGCATGGGCTTCATTTCGCTTTCTGGATCCATTAAGTAATAGTTTTCATCAAGTTTGTGAAGTTTCCATCCAGTAATTTTCTTCAAACTTTTTGTTGCTCTTCTTCTCTCTACTCATCTTCTATGACTCCCATAACACATTTGTTGGGGTGCTAAATGTTGTCCCAAAGGTCTTCAAGGTTGCTTTAGCTAGGGCTCTCCAGAGAGAGAGAACCAACAGGACACAGAGAGGAATGAAAAGAGATGGATGAGAGAACTGGTTCACCTGATGAGGCTGAGGAGTGCCACAAGTCCTCTGCAAGGTGGAGAACCAGGAAAGCTGGAAGCGTGTTTGGTCTAAGTTCAATGTCCTCTGAACCAAGAAGGCTGATCGTGTAATGCTCAGTCCAGGACTGAAGGCTACCACTGCAGCGGAAGGGTGGCCTCAGTGACTACAGAGGCACTAATAAATAACATTTCACCAGCTACTGGAGCATCCCTGAATCCAGTCACGTTGACATCTGAAATCA